CGACACGACACGAACTTAACACAATAATAGTGAATTGTCAGCCCCTCATAGGGGTCCAAACTCCATAACTTGCTTTGTTCCTTTCTATCCGTATTGCTAGAAATAGAAATATCTTTGCCTCTCCTTTATGAGGCCAAGCTTAGTGCATGCATGATCTCATAATCATACGTGTTAATTATAGAGTTCTCTCAAAAAACTTGAGCTATTTCCAAAAAAAATAAATAAATTGAGCTTAAAAGAAGTAAGTTCGTAATTGGTTTTATTTTCTAATACTTTCTTATATATTTGGGCTTTTATATACTTCAAATTTCAAAACCCAACATATGACAAAGTGCATTTGCATGTTGGAGCTCTCTGCCTCATATTAATTTTAATAATGTACAAAAAAATGGTTCAAAATTATTCTAAAAAAAAAGTTCAAAACATGTTTTATTTTTCCAGTACTTCCCCTTGGACATGCCAAAATGCTTTAACATAAAACTCACTAATATCACCCTAGTTCATCAATTCTTCCAAAATTTAAGTTAATCTAATGTGAATCAATAGTAATCCTTTTTTTTTTCTTTCTTAATGTATGTTTCCTTATTTTCTCTTTTAGAAATAAATTTTGTAACTAAACCTTTTTTTAAATGTAGTAAGTAAGCTTCTCAATCACATGTATGGTGTCAAAACATGAAACATGACATATATATATATATATATATAAGAATGGTCTCCAATCTAGTATCGAATTTGAGCGTCACATGTATATTTTTTTAAAAAATATATATTTTTTTTCTTCAACACATGTATATTTTTTCTTGAAATATATATAACATGGAGAGAAACTTATAATTTATTTAAACACTTAAATACATATTTTTAAAGAAAATATATATTAACAAAAATATTTTTAAAAAAATATATATATATATATGTACTCGGAGACTTTACTTTTATATATATATATATATATATGTGGTTCTTTGTACTGAATTCAATTTTGTAAAGTTGATGGATGGCAATTTGCATATTGTCGAGTAAGGAGTGGATGATATGGAATGGAATTTGGTGGAGTACTCTCTCTCTCTCTCTCTCTCTCTCTCTCTCTCTCTAGTCATATCAAGTTGACATCTACTTCTAATGGAACCTCTAGAACTCTTTTTAAGTGTTTTGTTTAGTACTAGTACCGTTGCCTTTTACATGTTACTGAATCATATTTTGATGAAGCCATTAATGTTACATTTCAAAAAAGAATATATTAAGGTTACTACTACTATAAAAATATTAAAACTAAATATCATTATTAAGGTTACTAATATGAATATAATGAAAACTACGCCACATTTCAAATGATGCCATAGTGGCTATAACTGTTATTCACCCATGACTAAAGAGGGACACGACAATATTCAAAAGGAAAAAAAGGATTGAAGATAATTCAACATATTTGAAGGTCCCGTTAATTTTACCGATTAAAATTTTTAATTTTAAGTTTTTACAGTTAAAAGCTTTAAAAAAATATCACATCTAATTTTTTCTGTTACCGTTAAAAATTCTCAAAAAATGTCACATCTCAACTCGAATTGAAAACTCAAATTCGCGAAGCGAACGAGACCTTAGATTGTTGTTATGTTCACCACATTTATGCCCCGTTTATTTTACCGATTTAAGTTTAAAATTTGAGTTTTATTATAATAAAAAATTATCAGAAACAGTCACATCTAACTTTTTTATTACAGTAAAAAACTCACATAAAGTCACATCTAAATTTAAATTAAAAACTCGAATTAGCGAACTAAACTGATTCTTAATATTTTCAACAAAATCACCGTATAATTAAAGCGCTAAAAGAGTTTTTTATACTTATTTTTATCTTCGTTCGAAGCTTGAATATTTTATGATGCAGCTTTAACAAATTTTGGCTTGTATTATTGAACAGTCTATTTCAAAAACAACTTTTTCTTTCACCAATTAATCTTGTGGCTGATTATTACAATGAAAATTAGCCACAGAATGTCGACCGATTTACGGAGGAGAGCAAAAAGGTGACAATGTTTCGTGAATAAGATAATTCATATGAAGGTGATTGATTATTCCAAGATTTAACTAAAAAATCTCGAGCATATCCCATAATCAAATTTAATAAATTCAAGATTTATTACACCGTGATTAAATTTTATAGATTGGTCCAGTTCATTTCACCAATTCAAGTTTTATTATAGTAAAAAACTCTCAGAAACAGTCACATCTAACTTTTTTATTACAATAAAAATTCTCACATAAAGTCACATTTTAACTCAAATTAAAAATGGAAAAAGAGGAAAATATGTCAAGATTTGAGATGAATTAAAATTAATAGGCCAATAGTTTACATAAGTTAATAAATAGGCTAAATTACTGTTTTCGTCCATAACTTGTCTGGTTATGAACCATAACTTGACAAGTTATTGTCCATAATTGTTCATAACTTGTCTGGTTATGAACCATAACTTGACAAGTTTGTCCATAACTTATCTGGTTATGAACCATAACTTGACAAGTTATGGCCTATTAATTTCTATAACTAAAAATTGGCACATATACTTTCTTAAGCTTTTCATATTGGCATATTTTCTACTATTTCTCAATTAAAAATTTGAATCAGCGAACTAAACAGGCCCTTAGGGGGCGTTTGGTATGGGGTAATCATAGGGGTGGGAATGAGAATCTTTCAGATTCCCATGTTTGGTACAATTATTAGACTTTTTTAAAACCCAGGAAAGTGAAGCCCATGGGTTTCACATTACCCCATTTTGGGGTAATCCTAATCCCACCCAATAAGGTGTTATTCAAATTCCCAGGAATCTCAAAATCATAGGAATCTCATAATAATAATAATAATAATTATAATAATAATAATTATAATAATAATAATTATTATTATTATTATTATTGCTATTACTATTACTATTACTATTACTATTACTATTACTATTATTATTACTACTACTATTATTATTACTACTACTATTATTACCATTACTATTACTATTACTATTACTATTACTATTACTATTATTATTACTA